TGGGTGCCTCAGCTGCTTCTTCATGGGTGCATCGCCTCATGTTGAGACAGTCGCTTCGGTAAGGCTCTGTAAGCAGCGAGGGAGAGACGCGCTGTGTGAGCGAGGCGGGTTTTAGATACTCCTGGTGGAAGAATCCCACAGGACTGTGGTCGGCCATGTCGTCCCCTGTGCCTGCAGGCAGCAGCCCCTCAGGCTGGGCAGTGCGGCTGGAGGTTACCAGCCTCGGTTTCCTCATGTGTATTTCTTCAGTGCATCTCAGCTAGAGTTTGATTGGCTTTTCCACAGATACACACTAATTTACTAGTAAATCCTACGTTTTTTGTTGGTTTTTTTTTTAATAGTTTATATATGATTTTCTCCTGTATGAAACATTTTCCACAGCCACCTCTGGCTGCACAGAGCTACCATGACATTTCTTTCTCTGTCATCGAAATGTCTCTAAATCCCATGTCATTTGTAGCGTTTATGGGAAGAAAATCACCAGGTTTACTTTTAACTCTATTGAAAAGACCCTCACATCTCCAAGCATAATCATTGTTCACAGAATCGTTTATAGAATCATAGAATCATTTAGGTTGGAAAAGACCTTTAAGATCATTGAGTCGAACCGTGATTTTTGTGGTGTTATCTCCTGTGCAAGGTGCAGCGTTAGGCAATGGGTCTCCCCTGTCTCTGGATCAGAGGTGGCTGATGTTACACCTGGTACTAACACATTTATTAAACTTCAAAACCAGCCTGGGAAGCTAGGTAGGCTTCTCTGTATTCTTGTCTGACTATAGGTGGCTGGAGGGATATTTTACCGGGATTTGCTATGTGACATCTGTTTAACAGAAATGCTGCTGGCTGTGCTGGCAAATGCTGTCCTCCCTGGTGAAATTCACTTCTGGATGGACAAGGGAGGAAAGGAAAAAGCAAAAAGCTTCACCCTTTTCTCCAAGCAGTCATGGAAAATTAATTCTCTACAGAAGAAAAGTGTATATTTGAGCTCATGTTTGTCAGCAGGAGGAGCTGACCATACAATGAAGCTGACAAGTTTGTTAAAATTCTTTGTGGATGAGGTAAATACATTTCTTGTGAGTAATGGCCAGGTTTCCTTGTCTCTTTCTGCTTCCTGAGAGAATGTTTTGCTGAAAACATATTGTATTAGGAATTTTTTTGGTGCCTGCCCCTCCTGTCGTCCTCTCTGCTCCCCTGCCCATCGTCAGATGCTTGTGAAGGAGGGAAGCTGGGCCTGTGTTCATATGGCAGCTCTGCTTCTTCACCTCTCAGACCCTGAAGGCTTGCACTCAAATCAAGGTCTGATCCAAACCTGCAAAAGAACTGCTTTTTGGATGAGTTATACAAAACCATGTTAATCTCAGCTTGGTATATTTTCAGAAATGGGGAGGCCCTACTGAAGCCTGGTGAGTCCCTAGCTGCTGTTCAGCCTTACGGTGAATGGACTTTACCATGACGGCTGTTACAGGCAAACTCTAAACCAAAATGCAAGCTGCTTCCAAAGGACAGAGTTCTCATAAGCAAAGCTACACCCAGACTTTGATAATCTCCTGAAATGTTTTGGTCTTAGCACTCTTGAACACGATCAGTTCATAGGTCTAATTTCTGCCATCCAGATGCTAGTCTACCTCTGACTTGATTCAGACTGACAAAGCCCCTGCTTGTCTTTTTTGTTTTAAACCCGAAACATATATCTTTAGTGAATTTTAGTTTCCAGTGTTGTTTCATTTCCTATTGTACTCCAGTTTTCAGTCACAGAAGCTAAGCACTCTTCAACTCTGGCTCCAATGTATGTGAAATGTATTAGCAAAGTCCTGTGTTAACTTCTCTGTACGTGGGAAAATACTGTTCTTTCTGGGTCTTTCTAAATACCTCTGTTCCTTCCTCCGCCCTTTCCTGTATTATTGCAGTGTGGCTATTTGTTCTTCAGCAGTTACTGTCATTTCCTAGTGTCTTCGTAATACAAGAAGTTTCATGCCAAGTGTAGCACAGAAAAAATTCTTGAAAATCAGCGCCTGAAGCTACCCGTGGAACAGTAAATTACTTTTCCATAACTGCCTTCACAAAAGAAAATCAAATGTCCCACTTCAAGCCTTCCTGTCTTTTACTGGTTTTTAAATTGAATAGCTTTTACTGTAGATTTGTATTTATTCACTGCATTAATACTAGTCCTGTAATTGTCACGTCCTGTGCCAGAACAGAATGTGTCTGCCTCATTGCAAAGAGGTGCCTCTGACAAAGAACAGATTGAACTAGATCACTGACACAGATGCAGACTGTAGCATTTTCCTTCTCCTCATTGGCATAAAATCCAGATTCACTCAGTAAAAATGGTCATACTTTATTCAGATTTTATTCATGCTGAGATTTGTGCAGAAGAGTATTTACAGAGGAGTAACTGTCTTTACAGCAGATTTTTTTTTCTTCCTATTGGTTATGTTTTAATATATTTCATAGTAAATAAGATCCTCTCACAATATGACTAATGGTTGTAAATGCTTGTCTCTATCTACACAGTAAACTGAGGCACAACCTAGTGAAAAGTTTCCCTGTGACTTATCATTTATCACTAGCCATAAATGATGGGTGACCCAGATCCTCTATAGTTTCTTTCATTCATGCTGAAGAGAGCTGCCTATGAAATGAGAATCACTTCATGAATTTAGTAAATAATCCAGAGAGGGATGGTGGGCGCTTATATATACTCCCAGAAGACTCAAGGGGCTTTTTTTAGTGCAAAAGGCATTGTTCCCAGTGGAGGCATCCTGAGGAGTATTCACGTCGCTGGTCTTTCAAACAGGAGCTCCCAGTCCTACAGGACTTTTGTATGTGATTGTGCTGTTTACCGTGTTGCTGGTAAATCTTGAAAGACCAATAAAACGTGAGCCTTTCAGAATACTTCCATTTATTACATCTTGTACAACAGCATGAAAACAAAGCATCTTTCCTCCTAAACTCTTGATATATTCTCTACTTGTGGGATGTTGAGGAATGTAATAGAAATAGCTAAGACAGAGATGTTCAACAGATGGGTAAGTACGCAACAGTTTATCCTGGTTAACTAACTAGCCAAGTGTTTGAACAGAGGTGAAGTTACACTGGGTGAATCCATAGTACTCTTTCCTTCACTGTAAGAAATCTGCCTGTCTACCTGATGGGCTGTGTGTGCGCACCAGCTCTGCTGCGCAAGGTGCCATACTCAAAGCAATTTTGCTATGTGCAGATGATACCCAGGTGACCCACGTGAAGTAAAATCTCCAGAAGCCTGCTGTCATCAGAAACATCCCAATGTACTGCAAGTACCTCCCCCCGCCTCCCAAACGCAAACCAAACCCTAAATGTTGTGAAAAAAACAGGGGAAAAAAATCACATTCCTTTTCTGAATGAGTGTTGTGTAGATTCCCCTTCAGCAAGGACGAAAGAAATAAAAACTCAAGGCAATGAAAATACAGGTCTCTGTTCAACTTTAATCTTTCATTTATGTTTGCTTCTCAAAAGTTTTTCAGTTAGATAAAAAATACAGTTAAACTGTTAATCATTCCTCTAAACTTAAAAAGGTGAATTTGCTTTTCCATGTGTTTTTTTTTTTAAGCTTGTACTATTGATTGTTAAATATAGAAATAATTTTACCCTCTGCTTTTTCTCCTTTGGTGAGCTGTGGTTAGTCTCACTGCCATGATTTTCCTGAAAATGGCCACATAGCTGTAGCATAAAGTCATCTCTGCAAACACTGCTCTAAAGAAAAAAATACAAGTCTGCTAATACGAAATCCTATCTTGGTGTGGCCAAAATCTAAAATTCTAAAAGAAGCTGTAACATGTTACATGGCATTAGCCAAAGAAAACTGTTATGTCTGTCTTCAGAGAAAGAACTGGAATAATGTAAAGAAATCCCATTTCCCAATATATTGAGCTTTTCTGTAAGTAATTGAGTAAGATCTGAAGAAATCAGTTCAAAGTACAATTTTCTCAGAAAAACTATGAATCTTAACCATACGTGAACATTGCAGGTATGATTAAAAAAAAGGAAATTATTACACTGAAATGTTCAAACTGACATTTAAAAACTTCTAAAATGTGATACTAGAAAGAGTCATTCCTTGAGCTGTCCCATTTTATTAGGCAAATGAAAACTGTAAAGGATCATCAAAGTCTCATGCTTCAAATGCAGCCCTCCAAAGAGGGAATTTCCGCAGATGTGCAACTGGTACATGTGGTTGAGCTTCCCCTTTTCTTTCTAGCACATCATATTGGCCATGGGCATCCCGGAGAAGGATGCTATTCTAGGCTGAATAAATAGGCTTAATAGAGAAACCTGAAAGCCAGGATCAGTAGAGCAGATGAAAGGAATCCAGTAACCTTATCTAAAAATTAACTTTACCTATTCTGAAGGAAGAAGGGTTCATTAGTACAGAGGAAATTTGTCACGCATCCTTCACTAGACAGAATGACCCAGATGTTGCTCAGTCGCGTGTGGGCATTTGTACTTTGCTCTGTATTGTACCTTCACGTAGGACAACGTAGGGATGATAAGCGTTACTCCAGGCGTTCCTGTCCTCCTGATTTGCAGGGTTGAATGTAAACATACTCCAAACAAAACCCTCCATAGGCACTTAAGAACAGATTCCTCTTCTAGGTCCTCTGTATAGCTTGTAAAGTGTCCTTCCAGTGTTGTGTTAAAACTACAGGCTTGCAGATAATCCATCCTACTGTTTTCTGTAAGTGTTTATTTTGTTTTGTTTTGTTTTTTTAAATTTGACTCTTCATAGCTTTATCTTACAGTTCCTTTGAATTCTTGTGATTTAGTAAAATGGGTTTCATTTTATATAAGAGCAGCAACAGAACTCCTTGGTTAGTGTCTGGCGGAGGACAAGGTTAAATTCTGTATTGAGATACGATTGAGTTGGTAGTTAGAAAGACTACTTGATACAAAGAACCAACAACAGCAACAACAACAACAAAAAATTACAAAAAGCCCAGAACCTTGAATGAGGTGAGAAGTGTTCATTGCAAAAGAGAACTCAGGATGTACGTAAGCATCAGGACCAACATTAAAAACTTAGCAGTAGGCAGGAGGATGCTGGCGCTGGACCAGTACACCTTTCGTTCGTTCAGAAATTGAATGGGCCGGAAATTTTCAACCATGTAAGTTGAGTTCTTCATACCAAAGCGGACTGTTGAAAACTGAGAAATCTGCAGACATCAAAGAAAAAATAGATTGTTAAATCCTTTTTCTATGGAACACTGGAAATCGTGATATTGTAAATCTGCAGTGCCTTACTCTGGTTTTGAACTGTATGGCTCCATTAAACCTTGCAGGAAACAATGTGATGGAGGCCACTGCCAGAGGTCACCAACAGATGACTTCTTTTAGCTTTAGAAATCATGGGGACGTCCTTTCTGTGTGAGCCAAACACTTTGTCCGGCTCAAGGACCTGGTTACACCAGTCCTCTTGAGGCACACAGCCCTGTCCTAGTCCATCACATCACAGTGACACAAAGTAAGAGGACTAAGATTTCTTTCCTTGCTTCAGTTTTCTGACTGCTCGCAGCATGATGCTGGCCCAGAGCAAGCAGATGCTCTCCCTTGTGTGCTGTGCGAGGCTGCCTTGAGTGTGGCTGAACACGGCCCTGGGACTGAAGTGATGATGAGTACACCGCAGGTAAGGAGCAAAAATACCGGTGCTGGCTCTCAGCCAGGCTGTGCTGGCTAGTGGTATTGCTGAGAGCCCACCCCAGAACATCTGAAATTTTTAATCATGTACTCTGTCAGCTGAACAATCTGTATTTTCAAGGCAGTCATGATTCAGTCTCCTGTTCCTCTCTATAGGACAAAAATGGGTTGCTTAAAGCTGATGCTGATAGACTCAAAGTTTGGATGTTGAAGTGTTCTGTTCTGGTATGCTGGCACTTATGACGACAGGAGAAAAGCAGTGAAGTCTGGGAGGGAGCCGCTGACAGCAGTGGAAGGGCTGCTGAGGAAGTGCTGAGCTAGGCGTTTACCTGTGGGGTTTTTTGGCTTTCTTTTCACATCACCATTTCCCGTTCCCTGCCATTTTTTGAGAGATGATTTAATAGGGTCAAAAAGCTGGCACTAGGGCCTGTGTCTAGGCTAATGTCAAGCAAGTGTCTGTGTGCCATCGGAACAAAGCGGTGGAGCCGCTAACAAGTCTGTGTTAAATTGTGTGGGTGAGTGGGCAGCCAAAGGGGCAAATAACTGTAAGCAGACCTTCCTGGCTATCCCTCTGCGACTTACCTGAGAAATACTGAGTTCAATTGGCTTCTCAAATACCGTCCAGATGACACCCTCGTGGCAGTCAGGGGTGGTGAGGGAGCCCTCATACCGATAGTACCTTCTGAGGTCTTCCTCAGGTGGGAGAAGAGAACTCAATGGCAAAGGCTCCATCTGTACTGTTTGCCCTAGACAAACCATGTGGAAATACTGCTTGTAAGAAGTGTGGCTGCAAATATTGTTCACATTTATCTTTAAACGCATCTGCCACTCACAGTTATCTAAAGCCTCGTCCCCACGCACGCTTCCCAGCCACGCTGCACTGCGTGTGAACTCCCTGCCTGCCAACGGCCAGATCCCCCGGGGCACAAGTTACGCACACCTCTTGTGTCAATGCTCTGCATGGTTTTCTTCTCATTTTTTGCTTCTTCCTGCAGAAGCAGGAATACTCATTCTAGTTCTGGGAGGGTTTCTTCACCGCAAATATTGAGAACTAGATTTTCTCCCACCTGCGATACCCTGAGTGCTTGACAATCTAACCTTTATCTTTTGGCTTTGACTTTCAAGTAACCATCCCTACTGTAATTAAAACAGGATTGGACCATGAACTACCTGGCAGTGTAAGTGCTCGAAATAGATAACTCTTGATTTTTGACCAACACAAGTGCCTTACCTTTGTATTGAATATTTTCCAATTCATTTATTAGAGTTGCATAGTTTTTATTTTCTTCTTCAGCCTGAAATGGAAATATTTTTATTCCAAATCGTACATTTCTCAACATCTGGCTGCTTTAAATTAATTGTGAATAAAACAGAAAGGAACCACAAGGCCACAATATAACAGCAAGCAGAATATAGCAAAGGGTAAAGGAACTAAGTGCCGGCACTGAATGCCTGCAGAAATAGGGAGGCTTAGGTCTTGGGCTACTGTAACGTTAACACAATCGATCACTCAGCCAAATCGCTGGTAGGTTTGAGATGGGCAATTAAAAATTTGGCTACCTACCTTTATAAAGAATGCTAACACAGCCACACCATCTGCATTTTTCTTTGCTTCTGTTATATCCGAAACGTCTTCTCTTATGTGGACAACATGAAGCTGTAACACAAAATAGCCAAGGCCAACTATTTGCTCATTTTCCTCTGCAGTCGGGTGCTTCCCTGCACCTACGCTGCAGTGGGGCCAGAGCCGCAGAGTTGGCTGTGCAACACGGACTAGAATTTGAAACTTCTTTCATCAACAATGGTATCATTTCATACATCTCCCCAGAAGGTAAAGTGCTCTGTGGAACGCTGCAGCCCTCAGTTTTCAGCCTGTGCAGAGGAACAGGCAGATGTTTACACCATGCTTTGAAAGGGGGGTGGTTTCCTTCCACCAGTCCGTGTGTATCAGCACTAGCAACTGGTCTTGCCTTGAAAATATTTTTTTCAGTTGCATAGGTCCATTCATGGTTGCAGTCCCAGAGCTATATAATCTGAATAAGCAGTGTGAGAGTGGGTCAGAATGTATAGACTTTGAAATGTTTCTCCTCCCAGACTATATAATCTGAATAAGCAATGTGAGAGTGGGTCAGACTGTATAGACTTTGAAATGTTTCTCCTCCCAAAAGGCTATATAATGCCAGAATTCTTGTCTGTCCTCTGCCTTTGCTGTGCAAAACTGGTGTGTGTTTTCCTACATGTTCTGGTTAGTGAGCAACGTGTCCTTGGTTCTTTATTTCCACTGTTGGGGTTTCATGGGAGAACTAGCCAACAGGTTTTGTGCAACAGTACCTTAAGAAGCCAGAGTTCTTGAGTAAAAGCCATAATCCACAAACAGTCGCACCTACCTCCATGGCTTGTTTTTCTCCGTCTATGCTGTGCTCTGACCCAGGAAGGTAGTGCGACACACCTTGGACTCCCCAGTGCAAATGAAATTCTATCGCCTTGTATTTTCTTCTCAGACCTCCGCCTCCAATTTTAGGGGATGTGCTTAATGTTACTTTAACTGAGGAAAACAAATAAGTTGTTTTTAAAAAAGAAATCAGATCATACATTAATAGTATATGAGAGCAGAGAGATGCATGTTCTTGAGATTCAAATTTATACCAAAGTTCTGGCTCGGTTTTTCATACCAAGTGTTCCAGAAGTTCAACTCTGCAGGAGTTGAACCCTTACAAAATGCTAGCTGAGATTAATGTGAGATGAAAGGGAGAACTATCGCAGCCCACGTCCCAGTAATATGTAACCGCATTTGGACATCCCTCTATGGCATGGCACTTGGAGCTTCTGTTCCCATTTCTACCTAGGATTTGCTCTGTGAACTTGAATGACTTCTGTAGAGCCTCCCTTGCTGGAGAGCTGAGCTACCCATTACCTCAGTTGAACAGATAATAACAAATAAATTAAAGAAAATAAATTTGTTTCCCTTTGTAAAATGAAGGAAAAGAACAGAGCACTACTTTGGATTGTTCTAGGGTAAGGGTTTTACTGACTTTCATGGTGTCCATTGATTTATCCTCTGGAGTACCATTGGTTGATTGTGTTTTGAAGAAAGCAGGGTAATAGACTGTCTGTCTTTGATTGCACTGAGGGGATTTGTAGGGATTTGCTCACTGCCATTACAACCCCAGGTGTCACAGCTACTTACACGTTTCAGAAGAGCTTATGTTCCTTCATTTTTTGTCTAGAATACCCTCTATCAAAGTATTCTTAAAAGTAAACTTGATCAGAGTTTATTTGGGTTTTAACCATCGTTTTTATCTCCTATTGTTTGCACTGTAACATTTGGTTTAGGCAGGGTTTAAAGATTAATTTAATGTGCTGTTGCAACTTAAGCCTAAGTGCCTAAGTCATTCTATCTATTTAAAGTGATGCTTGATCTGTTGTTAACAGCAAAACAAAACTTTCTTAGGAGAGATGTTTCTAACCGTAAATCACCATCACTTCCTGTGCTTGAGACATTTGGGATGTATTTTTAAAATTTACTTATTAAGACCTCTACATTAAGCACAGTATTTTTCTTTCCATAGGAAACATTGTTTTGAGCTGGACTGAAGCCCCAGAGATTTCATTTCTGTTCTGAATTCCAAATGGACTGGAAGTTTGCTTGAGTCAGTCACTTTGCTTTTTTATTTGTAAATGGATGAGTAACATATCTTTGTTGGCTTTTTTTATGTAGATTGTAGGACCTTTACGACACTGACCTTTATCATCTGCACATCATCGAACGTAATGATAGTCTAATCTCACGTAGAGCTTCTAATTGCAGCTGTAATTTAAACAATAACAGTTCCAGTGTTGTACTCATTGTACCACAGGAATTGGTTGCCCTCAGAAAGAATAAATTTTAAAAGCCCAGATTAAAAAACTAATTTTGCATGGCTGGGAAAGATGAGAGTTCTGACCAATCCTTACGAATATTAATTTTTGTGTAAAAGATATTTCTATGCACAGTGACTGTAATACGGAGATTCTAGAATGTCATTCTGAAATGGGAAAATCGTTAACCCATATACTAGTGAAAAGTCAAAACATCTCTTTTTCTTATGGGCTGTCAAAATACTGATGTTTTAAACTAGAATTTCTGGCTGTGAAAATCTACCCAGCTGTCTACCTTCCTACCTTTCCATTTTAAGTTAGGAAGATATTTGCCACTTGCTACTTCCCACTTTCAGGATTTGGCAGTTAAAACAATTCCTCTAAGATTTTAAGAACACCTATAGATAATTTTTTTTAAAAGGACAATAGATTTATTTTTAAAGTTGAAGTAATTTAGCATAATATTGTTGAAGCATCATTGTTAGTATTGCTCTTCGTGACGAAAAGTGGAGGAAGTGAGACAGTTCTAAATTACTGCTCACTGATTCACTGTTTACTGATTTGCTGTTCACTGATTCACTGTTTACTGAATCAGTAAGTAGCTGATCAACAAGCTCACAGTAGATTCCTTGCACTTGTGGAGAAAACAGGTTGAAATCTGAGATTTCAGCTCATTCTTTAAAGAACCAGTAAGACGTACACACTGTGAGCCACTGGTTGAATGACTTTCCCAGATTATATTCTTCTTCAGCAGATTTCTTCCTTGTGCAGAAGCAAGGGTCAGAAAGGGCAAGCCCAGAAATGAAGGATACAGGAGCATTCAGCAGAATTTATATACCTCTGCCAAAACTGCTGTCCTAAACCCTTACAGCCACCCACCTCCCCGTCCTAGAGGTTGTCTGATTCGGAGGTTCCCTAGACGTCTCGAGCTCTGTTTCTGCAGATGCACAGAACCAACTTCAGCTGAGACGCTCAAGGAACGTGTCCAGGGGCCAAAAAACAGATAATTCCCACAAAGTTCCCAGAAAGCCCAGGTTCAGAAGGTGTTCTGAAAGTTTCACTTCTGAAATATAGGCGTGCTATCTTATTTTACCTTCCTTGCTTTTAAGTAGCAGTGGTGATATCTAACACCTTGCCCAGGACATGGAAGAAGTGAATGGATAGTTCCAAGTGAAGACACAAATAAATCCCATAATAACATATTTGGCAGTACTTGCCTGTATGGCCATTATTTTCTATGTTCCATTTTGAAGACCCCTTCACATCATATCCTTCAAAATTCAGTGGCTTGAGACTCTTGTCATAAATGACATTTTTGGTGACAATATTGATAGGTGACTGTTTGTTTCCTTTGCAGGTGACATCTGTTAGATACCATTCTCGAGGAACTATTTAAGAACAAAGAAAATAATTTTTTTCTGTAGACTACAAATCCTTAATAAAGCCAAACGACCCAACAGTCAACGCATTCTTGCTTGGAAAATTGGTGACATCTTTGAAGAAAAGGTCTTTGGATGTTGGAATTTAATACAGGAACTTTCTTAGCATGTCATTTCTTGCAGTTTTAAAAATATTAAGAATGTTCTGTTAAGCTGAATAGGAAAATATGCACATGTAAATGGCTGTAAAATAGAAAGTGAACTACCACAGAGATTGGCTGAGCTATAGAAACTATAGAAACTTGGAAACTATAACAAAAAACAGAAAAAGGGGGGTGGGGGTGGTGATGGTGGTGGGAGTGAAATGCTGTTCCCAGCACAGTTGGCTCCAGGGAGGGCTGGGCAGGACGCAGCAAGGGAGCCGGCAGCCTAGGTGGGGACTGCTGGTAAAGCAAAAGGTGCAGCTGTAGGCAGAGCAGTAGGATTTTTCATAGCTGTCCTTAAGAATTTAAATAGCTGTGTATACCCACCTTGCTGGGGTGATTAGTTCTGGAGCAAAATTTGAGTTATTTTTATAGTTGTAGCATTATCCTTGATTGAAACAAAATGAACAGTTGGCACAAACACGGGTATCTTCAAAATACCCTTCTTTAGGTATCCTGTTCAGCACTTACATTTACATATAACATGATCATGCAGCATTAAATGCTGAGCTGTGTGAATTTTTGCATTATTTCTATCAAAAGGCCCTTTGCAAAACAGAAAAGTCCAAACCCTAATGTGATTGGAAAAATAATTTTTTTAGCAGTACCTTCACAGTGTGACTGTTCATACTTCTGTGACTCATAGCACCAGTGGCTTCCAACTGAAAAAAAAATAAAACCGTCAGATATTCAAAATGAGATGAATGAAAAGCTGTACAAACTGTCCCCCCCAAAAGCAGCAGTGAAATGGATTTGCAACTTGTGAACCTCAGAGTGATGACTGGGCACGCGGTTTTGATGACAACTTGGTTTTGTCCGCCCAATTTTTTTAAGGTAAGATGTTTCATTTCTTAAATATATAAACACCAATGGCTAGGAAGAGGTGGCTGCTTCAGCTGTATGCTTAGCAGTATGGAGCACACCATCCAGCAAGTCTCGCTGGGTTCTAGTATCAAATAATTCAGAAGAGAGCATAAAAATCCTGCAGTAGGCAGCTCTGTCCTCGCTCTAGATCTCCTCCTGGTCTTTAAGGAATCAGTTTACACCTGTTAATACCCCCTCCAAAAATCTGTGCTAGCAGGAAATATTAGAACTCTGAATGGGTTGCAATTCTAAATAATTTGGTTTTGAAACCTTGGTTTCAGCAATTTCTTGAGGCAAACTTTTCACATCTAAATATATGTAGTGTTAAAATAAATTTCCTTTTATCAGTTCTGTACGTGCCATCCTTTCATACACTTGTAAATTCACTTATGCAAGACAACTTATCTCACTCTGTTCCAGGAACTATTTTAAAGATTACTTGGTGCAATAACGAATTTTAAGAAATGAAGGATCTCATTTCCTGAAAGACATGAAGAATCTTTATTCCAACAACTCAGCTGTTATCCTACACAGATGGCTGCAAAATTTTTCAATAGAATGTCTTAAACTTACTTTTTCATTGTCAGAAGAAATACAAAATTCAGAGGAAGAGAGCTGAATTAATTTAAGTATGTGTTGATCCAGTCAGGGAAGTGAAGATTATTTTGTTTATCGCAGCATGCTTCAATGGCTGTTTATGACAGTTATAAAATTTAAATGGACTTTAACAGGAATAGTTCTCTTTGGCTATTTAACTTAAATCAATAACAATTCAAAACCTCTTATAATCATGATTAATACTGCAGTTTCTGTTTGCTTATGATTAGTAAATTATAGGCATTTTAATAAACGGCTAATCAATTTGAGGGATTATTATGGAGGAGCCTTGTCATTAGATTGCTAATTACCATAATTTGTGATCTTTTATAACACATCTGCTGGAAGGCTCATGGCTGCATTTAACACCTTTACCTTCATATCAGTATCACAGTAACACCATTCATCTACTAAGTATTTAGAAGAAGTTGTAGAGAGAACCTTGATATAAAATGTGGCCAGCTGTAACCACAGAGGGAGACTTGGATGAGCTTGTGGCAATTAGTATAATCTTGAAAAAATGATACTCTTTTAGTTCATCTCTCACAAAAATTAAATTTATGCTAAAAACTATAAATAATGTTGACTCACTTCCTAGTTCAGCAAATGTTTAGTAATATCGAGAAGAAAAGTAAACAACATTGCTACATTTGTATTGTTAGAACCGCAGGGATTTCTACATTGGTTTCAACAAGGTTTTATTTTTTGACACACTTCTAAACATACACAAAACTTAGCTTTAGGACCTGCCACTTCTAAAATTGATAGTTGCATTTTTTCAGGCCTGTGTAGACAAGGCAGTGGCCAGCCTTCCCGCAGCGCTGAGCGGTTTCTCATCTCCACTGGGAAGGAGCAGAACCAGAAGTTCCAAGCACAGAATGGCACCAAGTGCCTTACCTGATATTTTAATCAATAAATGCCTAGCAAATACCGGGTAAGACAATCTTCACAGTGCTTGGTTATGTTTCGTATGTGTTAGTGTTTGCATGGATTGACTGCAAACGTATTTTTGGCAACGGCTCTAGCTCAGTGATCACTATATGCTTTAACGATTGCTGCACCAGCACCAGTCACAGACTCTTTGGGGTGTGAGTCAAACCAGAGAGGAAAGCTGTCGGGCGAGAAATCAAGGTCAGTTGAGGTATTCCGGTCTGTTTACTGTAAATTCTTAGAACAAGGTCTGCTGTTCTGGGTTTGTATAGTCCCTTGCACAATGGGAGTGTGATCATGACTTAGACATCAAAGCATGACTGTAATGCAAATCAAATTTTACGGTCAATATGATTCATAACTAGGAATAAGTTCAGCAAGCTCTTTGGGTGCAAGGCTGTGGAGCTTTTAGATCAGGACCATAGAGCTATGAAAACCAAAGACGACCACTGAGGGAAGATAAATATCACCAAATCATATTGTCGGTGGTCCTGCTGCAGTGTCTCTCTACCAGAGGAGTGAAATGGAAGTGGGTTATAGAGCCTTTCATTGCGCAGTCTGAGTCCAGACCTTGTCAAACAAAGCAACCACTGACTTTTTACCAGCTGATAGGTGTTTGGCAGGTTCTCTCAAATAAGCCTGCGGGTTTCAATCACATCTTAGTAGATTGACACATGAGCACACTAAAAATCTTTTAGCCTGCATATCAAGATGATGGGGAGAAAAAGTTTAAAAAATTAAAATAACAAAACATCCAGCCCTCAGGTGGCTACTGCTGCCTTACATCCAGCACTCGTGAGTATTCTTCCCTTCTTCTGTCAAATGCAACATACACGAAATAATTAGCGTCTAAGTTTTGCAAGCTCTCTGCAAAATTCCTAATGTCTACAAACTAACAAAGAATTAGTGTTTTTCTACCAAGCACTTATCACAGTTGTGTTTTAGAAAGTTGGATGGTATCAGTGAAGTAGAACAGGATATAAATTCAGCAATTCGTAAGAAAAAAGTCCTTAAAGTTGTTACACCTTAAACAATGCACTAATTAAACATTGCAGAATGCCTGAGCAAACAATGAATTAATGTCTATTGTGAATTATGGCGGTTTTGTGGGTTGGTGGTAACGTAACATTAGAGAACAGGATCCTTTGTGTAGATACTGCTCAGGAAGAACCAAATTTTCATACCCTGTGTCACTTACAAGGAAAATTTGCATTTGGATTTTATTGGAGTCAGGAGTGATTCCTCCTTACGTATAGGGACCTTGCTTTTACAATGGTCCTCTTTTCCCCCTGGGCTTTATGGCTTTATTTCTGAAGCAAGAAGGAAAGATACTTGTTGCATCCAGCCAGTTGTCTGTGGTCTTATGCCCTAAGGTATGTTGTCTAGTCTTGTTCTAATTGTCTCAGTGGCTCCTGCCACTTCCCTTAGGAGACTTTTCCACAGTCTATTAGCCTTCACTGTCAGGAAATGTTTCCTGTTTAATAGTTTACATTTTCCACTTGCTTATCTGCATCCCATCACTCCTAGAAATATCACTGAACCACCCTAAACAGTTCTTTTCCCTCCCTGGTGTTTACAGCATTCAAATAGTTCCTTCATAATCTGTAATTCCTGTTCTTGCTTGCTCCATCCTCTGTCCCATCTCTTGACAATGTGCCCTTCACCTTTCCACCATTTCCACTTCAAAGTTTTTCATCTCTCTTTCTCTGAAGCCCCTTTCTCCCAGGGACTCAGTACATATCAGATCCCATCCTGCAGTCCTCTCATCTGACTGCTCTTTCGATCAACCCTCAGCTTCCCCATTCTCTTTCCTGTTGTTTATTTTATTGCCCAGAAAAATGCAGCAGAAAGTGGGAGTTTTGGTGTTTGGGGTTTTTTTGTTTGTTTCTGTAGCTGAGATGCTGAAACCATTGCTGTGATATGAGCTGCCCTGAAAGGGTCTCATAGCTCACTCCCATACCTTGCCGGTACACGTGAATTAAGCCACGGGCATCCACGCTTTGCTCAGGACACTACTAGATACTAGCCAGGATTTCCAAAAGCTCCTTGCCTAATTGGCATTAAATAGAGACATTTGCGTTCTTGTCACCTTTGGAAGTAATATAATTCAATATACGTAAACCTTCAGTATACGTATACACCAGGACTTACCATTGCTATATTATCAACCATATCTGACTCTTATATTGTATCACGGACTCTTGATTTAAGTGGTGATGCACCAAGTCATAGGTGTCATCTTGACTTTACTGGGTTTTAATTTAGAGTAGGGCTGGACTGGGCAGAAGGCCTCCTCTTCCTTCAAAAAGTTCAAGACAGTTAAATTTAGGGAGTCTCTCTTGGCAAGTAAGCAGTCCTACTTATCTCTGTTTCTTCCTTGTCAAATTTACAACTGGTTTCCTGACCAAAGCCATTTCTTGGCACCAGAATAGCTGGAAAACAATACAATTACGTATTGTTTTCATTTTGTTGTAAATGTTTTCAATTGTTTTAGCTATGAAGGTTAGCTTGGAAACTTGAGGCAAAAAAATTCCTTCAGTTGAGAACTCCCTCTTCTGTTCACTTACGCAGCTGGCCGGAGGACAGTGCTTCTGGCTGGAAGCCAGCGGGTCAGCAGTTTGCCAATGTGCTATTGTGTGATCTCGGAAAAGACCCTTAAGCTCTTTGGACCACGGTCAGATTGCCTGAATTCCATGGAAGTTCCTAAATCTACTCTGTCCTGCTTGTTCCCTGCTTACTGCCCTACTTGGACCCGTGGAGTTGCTGCTTGGAAGCCCACGTCTCCTCTGACGCAGTGCCATGAGACAGGTGGTATCCAGGCCAGCTGAAAGTTGCCCTTTTAATTTGTCCATCCGCACAAAAGAGTTACTAAATGAGTTTTTTTCCTGCTAGATAAAGTGGTTGGAAATCTATTAATTTTATATGTTGACGATGAGCTCTTTTTATTAACGGTATTTAATCTCTTGAAGTGCGAATGACTTTTATGCCACTAACAGCCTGAAGTACTGCGACAGTAAGAATATCCTCTGTTGTTTTTAGTTAAAATCCCTTTTCTCTCTTTCACTGACTGACTCCTTTGTTTGGTCCTTTAGATCTCTTGTCACCCTCTTTCAGCCGTGCCTTCGCTGACAATTCGTTGTTTTCCAAGACCCACAGCTGCCAGTGCTCCCTCTGCACTGCGGCTTTTCAGAAAGCCCAGCCTGCCCCCAATGTCATAGTTCTTCTTACTGCTCTGTTGGCAACTGCACTGGTTTCCAATCCAGCCCTAAACTCTGTTGTAACCGTCGGCTTTGCAGCAGAGCGAAGCCTGGCCTTTTCCATGAAAATGGCAAAAGCTAGTTTTGCATGCGGTATATTTTTAGCTTTGGTTTGTGTTGGGCTCGTTTTATTTTTAGCTTGCTTTGTGAAACTTCTTATCTTTAGTACAAAAGACAAAGCACCTTAAAAGCAAGTGGAATCTAAATCTGTCTTTCTAATTAATGAGATCGCTGAACACAAACTGAGCATATAGACATAAGTCTATTTATATGTTCTTAAGTATTATACATCCTCAGGAAGTCCTGATCAACTACTTTGACAGGCAAAATCAGTTCCAAATGTTTACTTCTAGATTTGGGTATCTCTAATCATGTAAAAACAAATGTTTGTGATCATTCATCTCTCTTCTATTCACTTCTATTCACTTCTATTCACCTTTAAATGTTATTTTTCATAATGATATACATCTGTAGGTATGTACATTCCAAGATATTATGGGGAGTTAGCCTTGAAAATAGTAGTAGTGAAGCATTGTAAGTAACCACATCTGATTTGAGCGCAGTGTTTGTAATTTGCACGTGTATACATAAATCACATGCTCAATGAGGTCTTTGTCTGTAACACATATAAACTAAAGGAAAAATCCAAAGAGATTGGAGGATTCTGGATATGCCCTATAAACACTTGCAACGACTTCCTTTGTGTCAGAGAGTGAGCAAGATGCTTTTAGCTGTGACCTGTGATACTGTTGTAGCCTCTGTCATATATATGTGTCCTCATAAATTTGAGATATCGAAGAAGGAAGTTGGCCTTTAACAAAAGGTGAGTATCCAGGGCTAAGGTGATTTGCTTCTGTCAAGTATTTTCTCTTGCTTTCTTTACAAGAGAGGCAGTGTCAAATAAAATTCAGAAAACCTTTTTTTAGTATTTTTAAAATTCAATTCAAACAAATTACTTTGTGGCTTTACTGTCCTTTTGTAGTCTTTTGTGCTGGGTTTATGATGACTGATCCTATGGCTAGAAATGGGACTAAAAATCTAATAACAGGCCATTAGATATATTCCGCAACATAACAAAGCATCTCCTGCAATGCCACAAACAGGGAAAAAAACTTGTTTGCACGGAGACAGACACCTAGATGAAGAACTGGCCCTTGCAGCATGTCTTGAAGACCTGAAGGTTTGTGCTGGTTATCTGGACAGCTAAGAGAAGGGTGTTTCACAGCAACGCCTCTCTCTGAAACTGCTTTTCTGTTTCCAGTCTTCAAAATCTAAATGTAAGAGCTAAGAGAAAGTGTGACTCCAGTTTTCTTAAGTATCACAGTGCACAACTTGCAGCATATAAGGGATATTCTAATTCTTATGCTGATATCTTTTGCAATATGAGAAAGCAGAGTGATTCTTCAGCTGAAGTAATGTCAGTTGTCACCCGCGTATGGCTCCTGTGTACGGTTTCTACCATGCTGCTTTCCTTCCCCCAGAGCTGAAGTGAAGAGCAGCAGGAAAATACCCTGGCTCGGATGCTGGAGAAGGACGGGGTGATGCAGCACATTGCAGTTCTGCACGAGGTCAGCTAAACAGTGAGTTAATACAAATTGATGACAATGTAGTGTACTCACGCCAGTGAGGCTGACCCTTCATTGGAGCATTAATAATGTGACTGGGTCCACTGTGTGCATGGAAAATTGCCCGCTCACTGCATGTCACCAGAAACAGGCTGCAAACTAGTGAACAAGGATGTTCGAACTTGGAGCTGTGATGCCCTTGGATGCATCAGCCTAGTAAAAAATCTGTCTGCTCGAGAACCTCAACGCCTATCAAGGCATCATATAGATGTACGCTGCCTTGGGCACAGCATGGATTGATCTCATCTGTGATATCAGTCATTCATCACTACATGCTACATGCAATCACTCTTCAGCAGTTCAGAAGTCATGCATGGGGATGAGGGGCAGTTGGACTCGTGTGATAGAGGCAGCAGAGGCGATCTTATAACGCTTACATGTGTAATTCTTTAAGAGGAAGGATCTGCAGATGAATGTAGATTATAGCAAGATGTGTCAGCACAGTACGTATTCTTGAATAACTTCACACATAGACTAACGTGAAGAGAATCAAGGCATTTCTGGTCTGACACAAATTTATCCATTTGTGCAACACGATATATCTGAATGCCACACCTGGCAGGGTACAGAAATGTAGGAAGTTGAAAACATTTTGAAGTTTATTCCGTATATGACTCTAGTACTGTCTTGTAGCTGCCTCTCGGGAGTCTTCCAGTGATACACAACGTTTCTTTCCCTGCTGGGCTTGGTTCTCTGCCTCCCCAAATGAAACCGGCTGTTAGAGCTAACTGAAGAGCTGCCCTCTGGCTCCACTGCCTCACCTGCTGCTCTGCTCCAAGCACTTCTCTCTCTTTGGCTGAGTTTTAGTGTCAAGGAGAGAGCGAGAATGAAATTGTTACAATGCCTTACCACTTTGTGCCTTTATCATGAACTGTAGAAGGAAATAAGTGTACTCTGAAATTACAGGATTTGCATCCTTAGCTATCCTGGTCACGCAGTCTGTGTCTGTTCTCTCAGCCATAGAACCCCTCCCATTGTAAGCCACATACGACAGTGAATAGGACAGGGGCTAAACCTCTGCTCACCCTAACAGTCCCTCTTACAGAGTTCACTTGCTAAAATATAATTGCAGGAGCCACGTTTAGTGGGCAAGTTTATTAGTGAAAAAACCTTCAGAGTTTCAAAGATACTACGTGCTGCTACTGGTTCAGCACAGATGACAAAGCCAGAAATCCCCTGCTGCCTGGAGCCTGCTTGTGCAGTTTATGTGGCTCCATGGAGAGGGGAGAGCACGGGCAGGCTCAGTGGGCATCTTTCTTGCATGGAGTGGATCTGGCAACGATGGTGTACATTGATACGTATGGATGATGGTAGGCAGGCTCAGATAAGCCTTTAAATCTATTTTGGCAGCTTAAATGACTACAAGGAAGAAAGAGGAGGAAGCCCTAAGCAATGTATCCTGCATAAAGATCATAACTTGAGATCAAAAGTCTGTTTGCACTGAGATAGTCAACGTAACTACTTTGAGATAATGTCACTGATAGCTTGTCAGTTATATTTAATCATGTGTTGGATTAGGTGGGTGGAGAGAGGGAAACGTAGGCAATCCATACCTCCTAAAGCACCTATGGATCACTGCCTAAAGCAGCTATGGCTTACTGCCTTTTCTATGCATTCTAGGTCTTATATTGCAGTTATTATTCTTTCTTAAACAACTGAAAATGTAACTTTTTATCCTAGAGTGTCTCTAAGTGCACCAACATCCCAATTCTGCCAACCCTAAAATGGATTTGAAATACAACTATAAATATGTGTGCAGTCTACACCATTAGAACTGGAAATGTGCGAAGTTACAGCGTCTTTTTTTATGCTGCTTATGGAGGTATCAGGTATACTTTGTATTTGAATGGCCCTGAGGAAACATCAAGCTGAGAATTAATGCTGACAACATCAATGTCAGCATGGTTGTGTAAATTTTATGTTTGTGAAAGTTAAAAGTATGCAAGAGGAAAGATAGAAAATTGTAGGAATCATGTTCTATCACGCATCAATCTTTTTTTTGAGCACTAGGGCATGGACTGTGGGAGAACGTCTTCTCATGGCTGAGGCCTGGTCTGTGATAAAGAAAAAGATTGAAATGTTCTGGGGTTCTTTCCGTTCCTCTTAGAGAAAATTATTTTCAGTAAGACTTGGAGCCCGCCACCACAAAGCTTCTAGATGGACGTATATTACTGTCCTCTGCAATTGTTGTTCTTTGAATGGCACTAGACTGAATCTACCCTTCATAAAACCTCTCTCTCAAAAGGTTCGAAATATTCCTGTTAGAACATTGCAGACATTTTGCCTCTCTTCTGCCTGTCTAACAGCAGTACCAGAGTCATGGATCTCCGAAAGGAATCAGGCAAGCCTTTGGAGGTGCCTCAGTGGAGCTGTTAATGGAATGTGCTAACTGAGACCTCCTCCTGGTGCTGGCTGAGCTCTGGACAGGCGGCTGCACCAATGTGCCTCAGTTTCCCTTTTGTAGAATGGGGATAATGAAGCTTGCCTCTTTATAAAGCCCTGTAAGGACTATTAGCAATAATTTTAAAACATAGGTGCTATGATATTAAGACAGGTCAAGGCTGAAAGCAATTTGAAAGATTAGCAATCAGTCATAATGACTACTTAAGTGTGGTGAATTATGAGGCTGCTCAGATTAGAAAAACAGCCCTGGTGGAGGTATGTTAAATGAGCTGGTAAGTGGATATCACTCAAGCTGGTTCTGAAAAGTGTTAAGACAGAAATGAAAAGCTTATTTTTTTAAAAAAGATACCTTCCGAACATAAGAAAAACTAATTTAGGCTGACTCTCAAAAGTTGAGGTTTCTTGAAATGTTTAGCCTTTAACTTGGCATAATGTATCCTGTGAAGCTTCTAACTCAGGAAAGGGTTTGGAAAAGAAGGTCAGGGAGAGAGCAGGTTTCTTGTGCGTTAATGACTGTGTAGCTTGCCTCTGCACTCAGGGAGGGAAGTAGAAATAATCATGGTTGGG